GTCCTATTTGTTCCAGCATCTTTCTTGCATATTTGTAAAAATTCAAAATTTACTAATAATTGTTGATCTTGTTGATGTGTTACATATACCTGCAAATTAAAAGTATTTAGTTTTATTGTATATACAAAATACATATATAAAAATTAAGATTAATACATATATATATTTGTAAATGACAAATTATATTTTCTCGAATTATCTCTGTATCTAAATAATGGATCTAGACACGGAAATAATCCGAAACATATGCATTATTGATAAGATGAATAATACCTGTGAGCTTTTAAGCAATTAATTGCAGTATTCTTCAAACTTTTATTGCAAACTTTGCAAAATGCAATTAATTTTCCTTTGTCATCCCTCTTTTGAATAAAACCTCCTTCTGTCCAATAGGAATGTTTAGGCTTTCCACCTTTGTTCATTGTTTGTACTTTTAATCTTGTGCACATTAATTGAATACTGCATAAATTTGTTATGCAAAATGTTTCATTTCAACTTATTGCTCTGTGTGCACCAGTTCAGACACTGCAGACAAAAAGAACAGGCCTAATATCTACATAAAAACATTTGATTAAAAATAAGGTTATGTAACGTATAATACATGTATGAAAGTAAGGTGTAACATACGTCAGAGGTATCATACGTAGAATACATATGTACGATACACAGGGTATGATACGTTCCCAACCCTGCTTACAAATGCATTGCTAGTTTTCGTGCCTCAAGATCTTGAATTTTACGCAACGTCAGGATGTTCATCTAAAATTAAATCATTATTTTGCGTTGTTTCAAAGTAGTTTTTTTCTTTCTTTTATTAAGAAAATGATAATTGTGTTTGTACGTAGCGTTCAATTGATAGTATTAATAAGTAAAAAGTATTCGTATTATAGATAGGTTATTATATGTATTATTACTCTAGTTTGTGTAAAATTATTATGTTACTTACATTATCTGTCATCTTCCTTTGATGCTTTTAGATTACTGCAACTTTTTTTGCTGTGATTGAATCTAACAAATGATTAAGATTGAATCTAAAAATTATTAAGATTCTTACATATACTTCAACATCTTTAGAAAGTATTTATAACATTATGTATTTAAAAAATTTCTATATAAATGTTGTAACCAATTTAATGCGCCTAGTTTTTTTTGAAGAAGCGTACAAAATTTATGATTAAATTAAAGCAATATTATAGAATATTATTGAATATCCTCCGTAAGTGTCCTCACCTGACTCTTTGGCTTGGATCTTCTCGGTCATCTTTCGTCCTTGCAACATAGCCCAGCCAATAGATGAGTCTGTTAAATGATGGGTCTTTTGCGCATCACTACAAAAATCTTTGTGCATTTTTATACCTAAAAAATATAATAAATATCCATAAAGCAATTGTTTTTTATTTAAAGCAATTTGTGAAACTTTTAGAAAAAAGAAAATTTATCTGAAATGTAATAATGTAAGCCTTCTAGAAACTTACTAAAGAATATTTACGATTTCTCACATTCCACATCAAAATCCATATATGCTATTGAAATCGTCTTTTCCACAAAGATATGGGACAAAATAGATGATCACGCGGAAATGGTTCACAATCCTAAACAATATTTAAATATAAAATAATAAGTTATATAAATACTATATAGATATACGATTTACTTTATAGATATACGATTTTATACGAAAAACGTATTAAAATATAACCAATTCTTACAACTTATTATATTCTGTATGCTGCTAAAAACATTTCGTTCGCAACCGCTCTGCATTTACTTATTTAAAACTTCTAAAAATAATTTAGGTTATTTCATCTTAATCCTTAATCCTTAAGCCCGACGGATTTACGTTTCTTAGGTTATTTCGTCTTGATATCAAATGTGATTGTAACCAATTGTAACCGGACGTAAACTTTAATTGTATTGTTAATCGTGCATGGACCATAAGTATTAACGTAGAAAGGTGGTCACTTCTCAGTTTATGAAAACTTCCGAGAGAAAGAATCGATGCTTGCTGTTTCCGTTCCGCCATTTTGGTTCCGGCGCAGTTTTATTTGTGTGTGAACACATGATACGTTTCCGGTTGTAACTGTTGGCGAATTCGACAGACTGCACTAGTGCGCACCAGTGCGCACTGAGTGCGAACTTTTTTGGTGCCACGCATTCGGAATGTGCGCACCGTATCAGTGCGCTTAGATTATCGTATTCGGCAAATGAAAACTGACCTAGTGTAGTGCTGAATTTGTATTCGGACCAACCGAATGAACCGAACGAGTGCAAGAAATATTGCACTGACATTTTTGTCAGTGCAGTTTGGTGTTCGGACAAATAAAACTAGTTAGGCAGCAAAAAATTACAAAATGGATAAAGAAAGAATATTATTTATTATAGATAAATTATTAGAAACAAGTAGTAGTAGTAGTGATGATGAAAATATGTTGTTTAATAAAAGAAGAAAGGCCGAAAATTAATTAAAAATAAGAATATTAAATTATTATTATTATTATTATTTTATTATTATTAATTATTATTATTAATTAAAAATTAAATTATTAATTAAATTATTAATTAGTGTAGTTTTGCACTCGCACCGTGTCAGGGCAGCATCGTGTCAGAGCAGCATCGTGTCAGAGCAGCACCGTGTCAGGGCAGTACCGTGTCAGGGCAGCACTAGAATCGTGTCAGTGCATATATATCGAATGTGCCATATGTAAATAGATGAGAAATTTTAATTGGTTAATTCGTGACGACGTGATGCATTTAGTGGAAACGCACCCTAATAGGCGAAATCCTATATATAATTCTAAGGTTTTATGTTTGTTTTATAATAAACTGTATATCATTATCGGATGTTGCTGACCGTGTGTTGGATATAGTATTTTTATAATAAGTTCTTATAATAAGAATTCAGACAATGTGGTTACAATTTTTGATTGGTTGCTGAAATCTACCATATGTAATAGCTAACCGCGAGTTTAAAGTTGCAGAAATTATTGTTTTTTATATAATCTGACATACGAATAAACAGATATTAATGCCAGATTCACGCGTGTTTTATTTTCTAACTTGTCTATGCATTCTCTACAGTAATTACAATATATTGCTGTTATTATTATTTTTTGCGTACTCTTAATATTTATATATATATGTATATATACATGTTTATTTGAGAGCTTTTATTTATTTATTTATTTCTTCTCTGTGGATTGGAGGGTAGCGGTATTGTTTAGTGTGTATGGGTTGATTATCGGTGGTGGCAATTCTATGTTGTACCGCGTTTGTGCAATCGAGTTTATCGCCCGAAAGTTGAAATATGTCGTTGTATTTATTTATTAATTTTTCAATGTATTTTAATTCCTCCTGGTTTAAATGATCGAGTCTCAGGGTGCAGTTACATGGAGTCAGAAATAACGGAATGGAACAGTAACGGAACATTGATAGAAAAGAGATAGGATTGTTCTACCTTGTGATAGGTGGGATGATATGCTCGTGTACACCAACTTACACCAAAGTACAAGCTCATATTTACTCCTCAGTGTACCTATGAGAAACAAACATAATATTGTTATTTATAGAAAGTCACATGTACCAATCGTTTTCTCCAACACTACTTAAAAATAATAATGTCGATAAACGTTTCCCTGTTAAGCGATTCCTCAAATTGTTTTTTATATTTCCGGCCTTTGAGAACAGACGTTCTGCAGGAACTGACGTTGCTACTACGGATAAATATTTTACAGCGATTGGATACAACGTTGGAAAAATATGTTTGGATTTTTTCCAATATTCTATTGGATCAGCTGATGTTTAAATAACCGATTGCGATAAATATTGTTTTAGCTCAATATTATTATATCCTCATGAACTTGTCGTTTTGAAGCTACTATTTCTTTATGTATCTTCCAAAAATCATTCGATGGTTTATCTCCTTCAACTACATTTGCCTCAGTTTCAGTATTTTTGTTATTTTGATCACTTAAATCGATATCAATCATATTCTGAATATGCTGTATAGCTGTACTTAGTGTTAACGGAATTTCGAAATGAGTTTTCTTAAATCGGGGATCCATCAATGTCGCAATTGCTAAATGGGAAACAGATTCGACGTGTTGAAATCTTTTATTTAATTGTATAAGAATATTTTCTTTAAATTGAACTCCCGTATTAGTAATCGGATCATACTTTTTAATAGTAAGCATCATATAATGAACTAATGGTATCACGAGACTGCTAGTCGCGTAAGTATCACCACTAATAGTATTTGTAACGTATTCTATTGGTTTTAAAATATGGACTATTTCTTGCAACGTTTCTACATCGTCCCGGACTATCATATTAGGCGCTTTTGGACATTTTAATAGCATATTATTAATGTAATCTTTTAATTGTAGAAACCATATAGAACGCTGAATTCCATCTAGTTGGAACTTCTTGAATTAACTTTAATGCATTTCCTTCCGTTTTTCCTTCTAAAAATTGTAAGCGCCTTAATTCATCTGCAGCTATAACACTTTGTTTGGATAAAGTTACAATATTTTTGACTTTTGCTACAAGCTCTACTAAAGAAGGAGTAGCTTTTACAGCATCAGGATATACAAGTGATAGTGTATGAGCAAAGCATCTTAGATGATTTTTTTTCCAAAAGTATCAGTGATGGCTTTTACAATATTTGCTGCATTATCAGTAACAATCGCAATAATGCAATCTATACCTATTCCCCAATCTTTGCAAAGTTGCATCAAGGAGAGACCTATGTATTCCGCAGTATGACTTTCGTTTAGAGGTATTACCCCTATTATAGTGTTTACAAGTTTAAACTCGTCGTTCAAATAGTGAATCGTTACGCCTATATAACTCTTTACAGAAACATCTGTCCATATATCAGTTGTAATTGTTACATGCTTTAGTTTCTGGAAACGACTTTTGTATACATTTTGAAGCACGGAATACTTATTATCTAAGAGATTCGTAATGGTTTTTCTGCTGGGTGGAGTATACAGCGGCACAGCCTTTTTACAAAACTGCAGAAAGCCAGTATGCTCAACTGTTGATAGAGGTAGGTTGTCAACTGCAAGCATGTACATTAAACTATTAGTTGAGTTGAAATTTCTCCACCTGTAAAAGAAAAAGAACAAACGTTTCAACAATAGTGAGACTCGAATATGCTACCATACATCAAGAATGAAATAATAACGGGCATGAAATATTCACTGCGGTAAATTACGTATTTTTCAATTGAATGCAATGAGAATTATAATTCGCAATGAATTTAATCGGAACACATTTGTTATGTTAAACATCCATTACAAATTTCTCTACACGAAACATAATATACAATAAAATAAAATAACATTTAGTTTTTATATCTACATATATTTAAAATATTGAAAAGAAGTTTATAAAATACAATGACATGCACGCACGCACGCACGCTGTCTAAAATATAATTTGAAATGAAATTTTATTTCAAAATCACAATTTAATTTGTTTAATCAAATAACTCAATTGAAATATTAATCTTGGCTCTTGGTATATCTAACAAAAAAAAATATTTTATACCTAAAAATTATATTTTCACCATTAAAATCTAAAAAATCTAAAGAAAAATAAATTCAAATTAAGCATAAATGTTTTAAAATACCTTTATAAGATTTTATCTTTTTAAAGGCTTCGTCAATATTCACATTTCTTATCTTTATCTTTCTTGGACAGCTTCTAGTTGTCATCTGTAGAAACAAATTCACAAAAATATACAAATACAATTAACAGATCATAATTTACAATCTAATTGATGAATATTGAAAATTAGCACTGTCATTTGCCATATTTGTTGAGTATAATAAATAATAAACGAATTAAAAACTATATATGGGCGAGTATATTTTAATTCATCATCGATTAATCACATTATGCGCAAATACAGCTTTTATGAAACAAAATTACATTTGCGTACAATGCAATTGATTAATCAATTAAAAAAACTCATCCTATTAGTTATGTAATAATACATGGTTGCAAATAATACTTATGCTAAATATATGATAGATCTGTTCTTTTTGGCTGAACTTTTGCACCGGTACATCTCTTCTTCTTCAACATGGAGAGAAAAGGAAGAAAGATGTACTAGTGCAAAAGTTTTTCCAAAAACAGGCTTAATATTTTTGGAACTTATTCCAAGTATTATATATTACACCATACAAAAATAACCTAAACCTAACCTTTAACTTTTCCAATCTTTAATTTAGGAATCTCAAATTTAGCCCGATCGCTACTTTAGACTTTATTTGAAAAAAACAATTGATTAATGCTTAGAATATAATATTAAACATACATTTTTATCCGTATTCAGTACGTTATTCATTGTTGATGTTCCTTCTTTAGGATCATCAGGATCTGATTCATCTGTTGTTCTCAAGGCATGCTGTTGATCGGTCACAATTGAATCTTCACTATTAATAAAAATAGTATGTTTTCTGATTAAATGTTGCATCAGATTTGTCGTGTTTCCGCCGTGTTTAATTAGTTTTGTACACAACTTGCATCTTGCACTTAGTAGTTCTTCTTTTATATAATGATTCCAAACGCAACTCTTAACTTTATTTCCTTTCTTAACATTTGTACTCATGTATTTCGATTACATTTTATTTCGATAATATAAGTAAAATATTGATTACTACTCTTATGATAAAAACTAACTTAACTGTTACAAATATTTACTACATGAATGAATATTAATGAGAGAATGAATACTTAAAAAGGATTCGGTGCATATCGACTGCAGCGCTACTTTACGGTCGAATGCGCGTTATACCAGGGCATTTATTAATACTGGTTGCGCCTATCTAGTTTCTAATAAATCTAGGACTCTAGACTTATCTCCTGTTCAGATTCTCACCCGAGTGCTCCCCGAATGTCATGTCATCCTTGTTTAACGTTTGGTAAACAATAAGGATAGAAGGATACCTGGATGGCACTCGGGTGAGAATGGTTGTCTTTAACAAGGCCCAACCATAATCGATATCATTAAAAAGAAGATCGATGTACCGATTAATCGAATTCTGAAACATCGAACCAAGCATCGATTATTGAGCGGAAAAAACATCGATTTTTCTATAATCGATGAAACATCGCCCATCCCTAGTTCGGGTGCTCTTCATTGTATATTTTTGAAAGTGTTGCCGACTTTGACTGTGCATTGTATCATACAGATGCGTGTCCGCGGTTGAGCTCGTCTCGATTGTTTGTCATTTTGCATCTTTTGACGACCTGGGCTTTCATGACGCGCGTTATTGCGGCGTGACGACGCCGTAGACGCAGGCGCCCGGAGACCGGTCGAGCAACGCCATTCTCACGGTCATTGCATCATCAATTTTTGAAATGTGTCAACTTTAACTGTGTGACTCTCATATATATCTTTTTGGGTATGACTGGCCACTCATAACGGAACCTGGGCCAACTAAATTAAGAAGAAGAAGAAGAACTGAGATGCGCAGTAGTCCAAAATAGCAGCTGCTCCTAAACCAATCACAATTTTGTCCAAAATTGTAAACATATATGGCTGCTATGAAGGTGTCTTTTCACGAGCTGCAGAAACTGGCCGTTCAAGCGACAAAAAAGGTTACATGATAAAAATTGACGAATAGCAAGCGAATATGACGCTTGCTATTCGTTAATTTTTATCACGTGACCTTTTTTGTCGCTGGAACGGCCAGTTTCAGCAGCTCGTGAAAAGGCACCTCAGAGTTACTGTATATATTAGGTTAGAAGTGATCAAAAAGTAACAGTTAACAACAAGTTATGAAAAACCACTCGACCGTGACGGACGCGTTTCGGATTGAGTGCTTTCAATCAAATATTTCTAAAAGTGTTGCCGACTTTGACTGCGCATATCTTCTTCTGGATGCATATCCGCGAACTGGCTCAACTCGTTCGTCCTGACGTGCGTTATTGCGGCGTGACGACGTCGTAGACGCAGGCACCCGGTATCCGTTCAGACTATGCCTGAATCAACTGTACAGAAAAATCTTATCACAAAAAATTAAGAAGTCTGAAATAAATTTAGAAAGAAATTTAATACATATAAATAAATGAAAAAATTATTGATTCTTAAAAATAACAATTTTTGTATGTTTATTCCTTATTCGTTTTACAGCATCATTTTTCCTTTACATATATGATGTAACCTTGTTAATAAGTATAATCTTGTTATTAATTTTATTAATTGTTTTCTGTGTTCAGCTAATGGTGTTTGATCAAACATATGTAGCACATTTCCAAGTATATTATTTGGTATAGTATAAAGAACTTGTACTGTTAATTTTGTAATATTAATCTGAGAAGCAGTTAAGTGTTAATGAGATCTTAATATTCTTTCTGGGGTAGTACAAATTTTTATTACATCTGATGACGCTCTTTTAAGACCTCCTCTACATTTACGATCTTGGAGCCTTGAATTACTTTCTGTTGTTGTAAGCAATGATTTACATTGTTCGCATTTTATACGTTTTTCAACTCGTCTAGTAATAAATCCTGAAATATTATGTCTTTGACATGTTCGGTCAAAACTGGAATGCTATCATGGTTAATATTATTGCATATTTCATCTGTCTCATCATTTTGATCAATGATAGAATCGATTCCATTACTTATTGATTTTTTAACTGTCTGTATACAGGGAGGGGCATTTAAAACAGGTCACCTGAATAACTCGCTTGTTTTTGACAATAGAAGAAAAAGTGTCAAACAAAAGTTGCTTGGTTTCGAGGGGCACATAATGTGATGTCAATAATTGTTTTTTTGGTGGAGGCACTAAAAAGATATGAAGGTCACCTCCACTTTTTTAAATGGAATTATGTAATTTCTTTTAGAT